CACTTCGTCGGGGCTGTGTTGCTGCTACTCCGCTCCTCCTCGTCTTTGCCCGCAAATATTAAGTTTCTAAAGTGTGCATCCGACTTTGGTTGCTAGGGCAGTGGGCGCCAGAGGATCCGGGCCGCAGCGAATTTTCTCCTAACTTTTCTGTTTGGCTTTGAGGATGAGATTGGGGCGGGACGGAGGGTCTTGCCCCGCAGTTCACCCTTCATAGACTTCTGTACTTATTTTTGTCAAGCTTTAGGGAAAAGGATATTAAGCAAAAATCTCTACCTTTTGTGTGCCTTTAAATGTAAATATAATGTCCATTTTCAGTGCTGGAACTGGGGGCTCTTTGTTTTGGGGTAGGTACTGTGTATTTTTTTTTTTTTTTTTTTTTTTGAGACAGGGTTTCACTCTAGTTGAGACTGACCTGGAACTCACTATGTAGCCCACGCTGGTCTCGAACTCATAGCGATCCTCCTGCCTCAGCCTCCCAAGTGCTGGGATTACAGGCATGCGCCACCACCCCCGGCTCCCTGTTCATTCTTTGTTTATTGACAATGCTGAGTATATTAGAATTGAGTCATCTTTAAATCCTCTTTTGCTAAGAGTTCCAGGTCACAATAGTTTAGAATTGCATGTCTTGTATACTATTTACTGTGTATGTCTTATGTCTTCTATAGTAATATCCTGCTGCAGAAATAAACTGGCTTTATTTTAGATGGTAAATTGGTGCTGGGGGGTGCTGGTAATATGACTTACACGTTTATTACCCATATTGATAAAAGCACCATTATTAAATACTAAACACTGCTTAGTGCCTTTACACACAATTTCATATTTAATTCCCTGAGGTAGTTAACAGATGAAAAACAGATGCCTAAATGCCTTAATTTATCTGTGCAGATAGCGCTCTGCTCATTTTCTTGGGACCTCCAGAGTTAGCACGCAATAATTGTTGTAAGAACACCCCCTCCTTGAACAGGGGTTGGAAGAGTGTTAGGGTTAGGATTGTCTGTTGGAAGCAGGTGGAAGTGGACACCGCCCCAAGGGAGCACCCCCAAGACCAAATGAGTACACCTCTTACGTCATAAAAAAGGAACAAGAACAGAACATTTACTTGGAGAATAACGTGGGAGGAAATGTTTAATGGGCCACTCGGTGACATTACTTTTCAGTTAATGTTGAAGCTGCAAGGAGAGGATATTTAAGCAGTGGCCACATTTATTTTTTCAGTCATTGTCCTGAGTAACAGTGGCTTGTGCTCATAAAAGACGGTATTTAGTGCTACAGCAATATGTTAACCAATAATGACTGCGGATTTACGTGCTTGCAAAATACAAATATTAATGCAGGATATTTTTTAACTCGTTTCATCAAACTAAATAGAGCACTCAGAAAAGATATTAAGGGAAACAATTAAAATATTTGAGCTAAACTCAAATTAGTTTAAGAATGTTTTTCTTTTCTTTAAGTTTTAAAGTTAAAGAAATCTACAGACCAAAAGCAAGCAACTTGAAAAAACATTTTAGTAATTCTAATCTTAGTAATTCTAATCTGCTATTTATTACAAGTGATTTAAGTAAATTCACTTCTAATCAGAAGTTACAGAGATATTTTCATTGTAATACTACTTACACAGCTTGGCTTTTATGTAACACTAATTTGTCTTGCTCTACTGTGCTTTTTTAAGAGTTTGATTTTCTTAAAACAAGTTAAGAAAATGTGAAGTACAGAAAGTATTTGTGTTTTAAGTAAAGGTGTAATTCTTCCTGGTTCTAGATTCTGAGGCAGAGTTATCAGATAATATGCAAAAAAGTGGAAAAGTAAAATTTTAAAGAAAAATTAGGACCTGGAAAACAATGAATGCCAGAAGAGTAATTAAAATGCTAATATGCTTGGGCTAGAGTTTATAAATCCAGAGTCTTGAAAACAGAATGACCTACGGCTGGCCAAAAGAGTTTTCTTTAGCCTGCTTAGTATTGGTGTAGGGGTTAGGTTTTGAAGTATTATTTTTACATGAAAATGCAAGTCTCTAGTTTTTTTAAAAAATAAGAATAGCTCGCCTTCCTGGGCAAGTTTTCGCTGTGTTGATCCTGCTGATTAGTGTTGTGGCTTTAAGTTGGGTCTTGTGCTTCCTTTTTCACCAGGGCTAGGACACCTCCTATTTTTCCAACATTTTAAGTTTGTGACTATAGAATAAAATTAAAATAGGTGAACTTCAAGAAAGCCTGAACTTTCTAGTGGCCACATTTAAATAGAAAAATCTAAACGTTTTGAAAAAATTGTTTTGTGTGAAAAGGCCTTTGTGTCTTTAAAAATATATTTTCAGGATTGCTTTTTGGGGGTTAACATCAATTCATATCTTTGGATTTCCAGATTGTGCTACCACACATAACTTTATTCATCTGCATACAGTTAACCACTGTTATTTTTAATGTTTTTAGATAAGATATTCCTCATAAATTATGTGTCTAAAGTAACTTTCATAATTTTATGTTTTATCTAAGGATAAATGGTCATTAGAGTGCTTAACTTTTTCCTTATACTGTATTTCTTAGTTATGCTCCATGGTGTCCTGCTTGTCAAAATCTCCAACCAGAGTGGGAAGCTTTTGCTGAATGGGGAGAAGATCTCGAGGTTAATGTTGCAAAAGTAGATGTCACAGAGCAGACAGGTACTGTAAGCCTGATTAATTCTTTTCTTTGCCAATTGAGTTGGTGTTCAACCTGTTTTCCACGTTATGTGGAAACCTAACCTTTTGATAGAGTTTAAAAACACAGTGGTCTGCAACTGGTTAAGCCAGTCCGCAGTAGTCAGGCCCCCTGATGCCCCTTCCTGTGCTGAGCTTAGTGTGTAGTGGCTATGCAAAGGTGATTCCCAGTTGTGACTGCTGCTGGTCCCTTGTGTGTGTTGCTGTAAAGGAGCTCTGGAGACATCACCTTTTCCCCTTCTTGCCCATGTAGCTTTCTCTTAGCTTTTTAGGTTTGTGTCCCCAGCTCCAGACATGTAAGGTGCTTTTGAGAAGTTCCCAGAACACTGGGGTTTGATTGGAAATTGGCCAGTGGCTCATTTGCATCATTTGCTTCAGAATAAGGAACATGGGTTCAGGGTTTTTTGTTTGTTTTGTTTTGTTTTTAAGTCAAACTCACATTTGCTAACAAGATTTGAATGCCTGAAATTGAGTCCCAGATTCAGTACCTGTAACGTGAGTATGTGGACTCTTAACTGCGGAGCCCTCGCGTGCTCTTTTGACTCTGCCTGCGTAAGCCATGGGCCTTGACCTTGGGGATGCTCCTTCCACAGACCAGCCTCCGTCTTCGTGTTTTTGGTAGCCTGCCTCCCCTCTCCCACATAGGCAACTTATCGAGCACTTAGCTATTCCAACTCTTTTCAAGGTTATTATTCATTGTTTAATCCTTGAACAACCGTGTAAAATATGTGATATCCCCACTTTACAGGTAAAAACCCTGAGGGACAGAGAGGTTAATAGTCTGTCGTCAGTGCTTGACACATGATTATAATGCACTAGCTTTTGGCCCGTATTGATGCTGCTTGTCTAATGAAAGATTCATAGTACTTACTGTTTTTAGTAACAGGGCAATTTCATTGAAGTTTGAGATCTAAGACCTTACTCTTAATCACACAGTGATATCATTAATCAAGTGCTTATATATATATATATATATATTTATTCACAGATGTCTAGTATTCAAGCTTTTCAGTTGTTTAATTGTGATAATATAGTTATGTTTTCTCAAAGTTGCTTTAAGTACGTAGTTCATATTTTTGGTCTTTATTATAAAGCTCAGCTATTTTAGTATAATTTCACATTCTTAGTATTTGAATTCAAAATCATCTCGTAAGTAGTTGTGAGTGGTCCATATGAAACCTGTATGTTCTTTGTCACTTGTAGGACTGAGTGGAAGATTTATCATAACTGCTCTTCCTACGATTTATCAGTAAGTATTTGAAGATTTTCAGATATAGTAAAGGATGAATACATTGTAATTGGAGTTGTGGGCCCCTGGCCTACACTGTGTTTGAAGAGTGGAGATGATCTCAAGTTGAGAAGGAATTTTAGAGCCTTTGTCTTGCCCTGAGTGGTACTCTAGGTTCTTTAAATAGACGAATGATATATGAAGCTGTCCCTGTTCTCAGAGGTTTGCAGTTGTTTTCGGGAATTGTTGATCATGCAAAATGGTGTGATCCTGTTCAGCATAGTAAACAATTAGGAGCTCAGAGTGGTGGTGAGTCCCGTGGGAGGGTGGGTGAAGGGGAGAAGGCACTGTGAGCTGGAGCACTTCTGAGAAAATGAAACATTAGCAGTAAAATTTTCAGGTCCATTCTGAGGACAGGCTCACAAACAGTAGGAACAGGGTGTGTTCAGAAAGCGGCCTTGGGAAGAGAGTAGGTAATACAGTTGTGCAAGTTAGAATGAACGAGGTCGTGTAACCTGTAGTGTCAGTTCTTTTAATCTGACTTTATCTTCTAAACTGGAGGAGGTTGGAAATCTCAGATCTGTCTACCTACCCTGTACGTTAATGTCATCTAGCTGGTGGGCAGAATATCAAGTACTTCTTTCTGCTCTTCTAAGGTTAAGAAAACAGGTTGGCAGTTTCTTTTGTATGCTTGTGTTGTAGTTCTTTTTTTTTCACCCACTTTTTAAATTCACTGCTTCTTTTATATCTAAATTTCTTTCTTTTTTTTTTTAATCTTTTATTTTTTATTTTTTTGGTACCGGGGATTGAACTCGGGTCCTTGCGCTTGCAAGGCAGGCCACTGAACCGCTGAGCTAAATCCCCAGCCCCTATATCTAAATTTCTATTCCCTATCTCTACATGTTTATTCCTCCTTTTTCATACAGTAATCCTCTCCTCCCTCTGCTCTTTAGCTGGCTGTAATCAGTCTCTGCTTTTCTTTTTTGTCTTTCACCACCCCTGATGTTATAACTCGGGTCCTTGCGCTTGCAAGGCAGGCCACTGAACCGCTGAGCTAAATCCCCAGCCCCTATATCTAAATTTCTATTCCCTATCTCTACATGTTTATTCCTCCTTTTTCATACAGTAATCCTCTCCTCCCTCTGCTCTTTAGCTGGCTGTAATCAGTCTCTGCTTTTCTTTTTTGTCTTTCACCACCCCTGATGTTATGTTGGGTTTTGTTCCCTTTCCTTTTAGTCATAATGTTTACCTTGCTCTTTCTCCTACTTTCTATCTGTTGAAATCATAACCATCCTTCAAAGAACAGTTCAGGTGTCACCTGCTCTTCCAAATTTTGTGTTTTGGGGCTGGGGTTCTTTGTGGTCTTTTTCTTTGGGTGGAGAAGGGATCACCTCAATCCTACTATAGGCAGTAGGGAGCTGGGATAACATTTATTGTTGTAGGACAGAACTCCATACATTGGGAATGGCAGGGAGGCAGTGATAAAGTTGACTGATAAAATCACTGAAATCCCTGGAGAGGAAGAAGCAGTCTCTACCAGATGGCCTCGAGCAATTTAAAGCAGGATGGCTGAGGTGATGTGATTATGACTGAAAGTAACAGAAAAATACTTTAAATTTTTAACTTAGAATTTAAAAATAGTTGGTTATTGTGTGTCAGCCACTATTCTTGTAATTTAATATGTGTATTGCAAATAAGGCTTAAAACAATTTTCTGAGGTTTACTATATGTTTCACAGTTAGTATTTGAAACAAAGTCTTAAGGCTTATGATTATTTACATTTGGAGCTAAGATCTTATTAGTATGTAATTTTTTTTTTTTTTGCTTTGTTAATGTATTTGAATATTAGGATTGGTTGTAAAATGAGGTGAAGTAGTAAAACAGATAGAAAATTTATTTCTCAGTGATAGTTAATACTATTTTTGATCTTCTTTAGTTGTAAAGATGGTGAAATTAGGCGCTATCAGGGTCCAAGGACTAAGAATGACTTCATAAACTTTGTAAGTGAAAAAGAGTGGAAGAGTATTGAACCTGTTTCATCGTGGTTTGGTCCAAGTTCTATTCTGTAAGTATGAGGGGTTTTTAATCTTACTCAGAATTAATTGCAACATATATTTCATATGAAGTACAAGTACTGAGTTTTCTAACTTCTCAAAGCTTGATATTTTTAGTTGATCTAAATGAAAATCTTTTTGCCTGTTAAACTAGGAAGGAGCATTCTGTAGAAATACATTTAATTCCTTCTAAGAATATTTTAACTTTGTGGATTTGGTCGTATATATCTTTACAAACTAAGTAATTCACTGAAGATGGTGAGCAGCATAATGGGTGATGCTCTTGTTTGAGTGTAATAGTCTGGATGCAGGGGCTCACACTCCTTATACTGCCTTGAGCTTCAGTTCTTGATTTAAAGTGGTTGAATTGTGTTTGGTGGGTTATTGTACCTGATAAGTCTGATATCTTGTATGAATAGTGCATCTGAACTATGACTGCAATGGCGTGATTAACCCCTGAGTGTTGTATCGCTAGCTAGAAGGTAGATACAGTCCCTCATTGTTTACGATTGGGGATGGTAGGCCTGTTTTCTGCTACATAGATAGGGTAAAAGCCTCACTTGTCATAGAGAAGACATTGGGAATAGTGAGCTTGCAGAGGGTATGGTCTCCTGGCCCCTTAGCATACTTGCCCTTGGAGGATGAGGAGCCAGGCAGGGCACCAGCAATATAAAAGAGAAATGCTTTGGATTCTGCAAGCAGCGGAAGGATCAGCCTTAAGTGTATTTTGCAGTAGAAGTTCCCTGTCTTGTCTTTTGTGCCTCTTATACAACCTCTGAATTGTCCTTTATCAACCATAACTCACCCCACTGAACCACCACATCTGACCCCGTTTAACAGAACCTACTATTGCTGGTGTAGTTTAGTTAGTGCAGACTACATTGAGTCTACACAGTGCTTTATATTTTAGTTCCTGTTGCTGTTCCAACTTGGCCTTTTAGACAAGCTACATGATTAAAGTATTTTTCTATATTGAACTTAAAAATGTAAATGATGAGCCCAGCATGGTGGTGCACGCCTGTAATCCTAGCACTTGGGAGGCTGAGGCAAGAGGATCACAAGGCCTGCCTGGACTACCTGGTGAGACCCTGTCTCAAAACAAAAAAAGTAAATGATCATTCTTTAAAATTTCCTAACCCTTCTCTGGTAGAAGAAACTGGTTGCTTCTAAGTTTCTGTTGAATCCTCAAGGCAGCAGGTTATAGTTTCTTGTTTTTGTTTTTTCGCTCCAGGGCCTTGCACATGCTAGGCAAGTGCTGCACTACTGCTTCCCAGCCCAGGCTGCACCTTTCCTTCACTGCTGAACAGGGGTAATTCCCAATATGAGCCAAGCAGGTGCACGCCAGCAGTTGGCAGTTAGAACCAGCCATCTTTTGGCTTTTGTGTGAAAAAGTTCTTTGCAATACTAGGTATTTCTTGCTAGAGGGAAACATGGTTGGAAACCCACCAAACCTTATTTTTGAAGCAACTTTTTTTAAACTGCCCATCTAAACAACCTGAATTTCATTATGTTAAAGCAGTAATTATTTTTACTTATGGTGACTTAGCGTTAACCTTCTATGTAGTTGTATGTCATTAAAAGTTATCAAACCAATGCTATTCTAAATTTTAATTTTAGCAAATAGATAATTTTTTTGTGGGGAAGTGCTGGGGATTGATTACAGTATTCCATACATGCTGGACAACTCCTCTACCACAGAGCTACACCGTAGACTGAACAGAGATAATTGTTAACTGGGGAGAATCAGATTAACAAGTCCAGCAGTTGTTCCTTCAGGATCCTTTCTGTGCTCATTTTTTGGAAGATTATAATGATGAGTAAGAATTGCCAATTTTCTTTTTTTTTGAGACAGGGTGTTGCTGTGCAGTTCAGGCTGACCTTGAACTCACTATGTAGCCAAGGTGTGCCTCCGAGCTTAGCAAGAATTGCCCTTTTCAGCTGGTTTCATAGAATTTGTAACCTTTTACTTGGTATGTTGTGGAAATTAGGTGAAAGATAAACATGAATGTTGACACTGGGGGGAAGGAAAAAGAAATTATTAGGTATTGAGAAGATCACATGGTACCAATTCATACACTTAATTTTTATGAGCAGCTTTATTACAGGCATGAAGTCAGTGATGTATCACTAAATCTTGATAATACCAGCAATAAGATCTGTCATGTTGAGAAAATTGTAGAGTAGAAAATAGAATCTATAGATATAGACTCTTGCTCAGTTTTTCAACCATTTCTTTCTTCTTTGTAGGATGAGTAGTATGTCAGCACTCTTTCGGCTTTCCATGTACATCAGGGTATGGATTAAAGTATTTCTTGTCTCAAATATTTTTAACATTATCACTTTTTTAAATGAACACAGTTTTTTTTTCTTTTGACTTCAGAATTGCTATGACTATTTTATTGAAGACCTTGGACTACCAGTTTGGGGATCATACACAATTTTTGCTTTAGCAACTTTGCTTTCAGGACTGTTATTGGGACTTGTAAGTACTTTGAAGAACTAGGGAGAAAAATATTGTGGTGGTGGTGGAGGAGGTGATGGTGATGATGATGATGACGGTGATGATGGTGATGTTTCTTGAGACTGGGTTGTACTATGTATTTTATGCTGGCCTTAAACTCCCTGTATAGCCCAAGCTAGCTTTGCATATACAGCAGTCGTCTGCCTCAGCCTCCTAAATAATGGGATTACAGGCATGTGCCACCATGCCTGGCAGAATATTTTAAAATATAATAATACAATAGCATTAGTTGTAATATGTTATACATTCAAATTTCTGTTTATCTTTGCAGTGTATGATATTTGTAGCAGATTGTCTTTGTCCCTCAAAAAGGCGCAAAACACATTCATATCCTTCAAGTAAGTATATTTAAGATTCTTCATTTTATGGCTATGCTAGGGATCCAGCCTAGATCCTTGTGCAAACTAAGCAAGCACTACCACTTAGCTACATCTTCAGCCCTTTTTATTTTTTTATTCACTGTAATCCCATTCCTGTAAACACAGTCCCACTCTTTAATAGCTTGGCTTTCTGTTCAGGTTCCTAAGTGTGCAGTGATCTCTTTTGGCTCTACCATAAAGGAAGAGGGAAAGATACATATGCACTTCCTGTGGGAAATACATATTTTCTGGTAGCCCAGTAGATTGTGGAACACTAGTATTTCTTGACTCTTACAATAAAAGGAATTTTAGCATTGCATACAGCTTGTAGATATTTAAAAATATTGATTTGGTATCAATTTCAAAATTTTATATTATTCTTGAATCCATTTGAATATATATCTGAGATAAAACTTGAATATATTCTGCTTTTGAAGTCTCATTGGTGGTTACATTTCAAGTTTCTTTGTATCTAGCTAGTTTTCACTTTTTCTGAAAGGATACTGGGAAAATTATTCCTTAGTTGACTTAGGCTTGATAATTGACACAACTGTACTACAAAATGGGTTTATATAATTAAAAGCATTTATTGCTGCTTGTTGTAATATAATTGCTTATCCAGTCTTTTATTTTTATCTTGGAAAATTGTACTGTTAATAGAGGCCCTCCTGTTCGTAGTTTATATAAAACTTTAACTTTATGTAATCCCTTGTTTTTCAGCAACTTTGTGGTTGACTGCATAGGTGATACTGTTCCCTTTTGTAGTTGAGGAAATGAAGGTTGAAGGAGATGAAGGATACCCTCCAGGTCACCTAAACATAACAGAGCAGAACGTAGACCTAAACTAGACTCATGACCTGGTATTCACTCCATGGTGCTCCCTTTCTTGGCTTAGGATTCATCAAGGTCAGAGCTCCTGAAATGAAATCAGTGGATATTTCATTGACAGCATGCTTTGTCCTTCAGTTACCTGATAGGTCACCTTTTTTATTCCTAGTTGTGTTGATGCTAAGCGGGGGTATACATAGAGGAAGGAATTGTTTTATCCAGCAAGGACCACTGATGTATAGAGGAAAAGTGCAGGTACAGATTAGTTGAAAGATAAAGTTATTGTTAATGTTAAGATTTTGAAGTGAAATGAATATAAAATGTTCATTCACCAACTTTTAAATTGTGAGTAAAACTACTTCCCTGTAGCACTCTCCCTAGGTGTGACAACTGAAATTATCTTCAGTCATTACAGTCTGGAGGACAGTACTACTCTTGGTGGAGAACCAATCTGTAGTGCTCATCAGAAACACTTGGGATATGATAAAGGACAGAGCCTGCTAACCCAGCAGTAAGAGGGATGAAAGGCAGACAAAACAACAGGCTGTCCATGACTGGCGGACTTGTTTTACTTAATACCCCACCACCAACAACAATACCACCACTGTCCTGGGTTCCTAGGATTAGGAGCGGTCTGATCTATGAATGCAATAAAGCTCTTTTGTCCAATTCCAAATCCTGTTTCTCTGTAAGGTGCTGTGCTCTGAGTTTAACTAGTGACTGGCCCTGCCAAAAAATAGAGTGACCTGCACACTTACTATTTATATATTTGTTATTTGTAATTAGTCCTTAATAAAATTTATAGATGAGGAAAGGGAAGCACATTTATGAAATTAGGAAAATAAGGACAAGAATATAACCTTTAACTGTAAGTTTGTATTTCTTGTTTCCCTGTGAACTGAAACACAGAGTACTACTGTTGGAGTTCTGGTATAGTTATGAGTAAATGAATACTAGCAGAGTAATATGGTTCTATCATTTTTCTCTTCCACATTTATAGCTTTAAAGCTGATTCATTAATTTTAATTTAACATATAAATAAGTGGATATTTAGAATCAATTTGGTAAGTAAATGTCTTCCAAATTAGTTTTTTATGATCTTTACTATTTTCATGGTATCTTGATTTTACTCTAAAGCAAAACCACATTATCTGGTCTTTGTCTTTAAGAAAAACCATTACCAGAATTTTCTGAACCTCAGAAAAAAATGGTGGAGGAACAAGAGGCTGATGAAGAAGATGTTTCAGAAGAAGAAGCAGAAAATAAAGCAGCAAACTCAGACTTCCCACAGAGTGCCATAAGACAACGTCCTGTGGGTCCATCATTAGCTGCAGATACATCCTAGTTAATTTTTATAAGTATCTTAATATTGTGATTTTGACAAAGCAGAAAATTGACCATTTGTCTTGTTTTAAAGTGAACTATGATTTGTATATTGCAGAGTTCAGTCTAATTGTCATTGGATTGAACATTTTATTCAGAAAATACAAGCAAGTATAAAAGTTTGAAATATGATTTAAGAACATTGGAGGTTTAAACACTTGTTTAATTTTAGAAAATCTGGTGCCAAGCAATAAGATTTGTGTATGTTTAGTTTAGTAATAACCTCTTTCAAGTCAGAGTTGAGCGATTATATATCCTAAGATTTACATTAATGGGGGTATTTAAGATTACTTAGAGAAAAAAATTTCTCATTTGATGTATTTTTTCTCAGTTTCACTGTGTGAAAAAAAGAACATATTTCCCATAAATGGGAACTTTGCCCCTTGTCTAAAGAAATGTGTATATCGGTGATAATTTTGGTCTTTTAGAGATATAGTCCAAAATTTCTCACTTTTTAGATTATATAGCTAGTGAAAACTGTCTTGCTTTAATTACAGTTTTCTTTTTTAACGTCATATACAGGATATGCTACTGATTTAAGTTTTTATAAATCCTAGGTGTTCTCTTGATTCCTATAAAGGTTTGTTCCTGTTTTATTCCTTTTCTTAGTTTTATGGTTTCTTATTTTGCCTTAGATTTTTTTCAAATTTGATATTATAAACAGTATCCCTATTTTATTTACTATTGGTAGGCAATAGTTTTTCTTGTTTTAAATTGAAGTTTACCAAGATTTATCAAATTGAGCTACTGAAATTTAAAAATTTTGGCCAATCAGTCCAGGTACTACATTATGGTTGTTGAACCTTGTTTTGAGTTTTTCTGTGTGTGTGTGTGTGTGTGGTTTTATGTGGAGGGGACATTCCTGATTTTTATTTAGTATGGAAAAGCTTTGGTATTTTATATTTTGGAATTCAGAGCTTAATTTGGTAAAAAACAACATTTGCATTCTGCTCAGGAAAAACATCTGTATGTATTCAGTGTCTCTTTGTCAAAGTATGCAAAAAGTTCTTAATTGAATTTGCATTTAGTGGATGCCTGGTGTTTTAAAATCATAACATTGTTATGTTTTTAAAAGACAAAATTCATATTTTATTGTTCTTGATTGCTAATGGATGGTATTTACAAGTGGAAATCGGCAACATGGACCATGACAGCAAAGGGCAGCTGTGGTAGAGGATTATGTAGCCACAAAAAAGAGAAAAACCATAAACACTCAAAGGGATCATCCAGCCACCATCTCCTAGATGATTTCTGTAATGTCTTCCCCCCTTTGTTAGGTTCTCTTTGTGTGAATCCATTACATTTGCATTATCAGAATGAACAAAAGTGTTTCTTTAAAGGCTTCTCCTTTACTCTCTTAAATATTCTACCATTAAAGAGTTTGGGTGTGTAATTTGTGATGCCTTAGAAAAATACTTCAAGCACAAAATAAGCTTTTTGAAGTACTTCACTAGCACTGAAGACGAGTGGCTTTCTAGTTGAATATTTGAAAGTCTATATTTAAAGGCTTCATATTTAACAATGTTTCAAATGAGTAGTTTTGTGTTCCTATGTAATTAAAAGGGTAGAATTTTAAAATTTTTTGTTGAGATGATTGAAGAAAATGCTCATTCAAGCATGATTTTCTGATGTTCTAGAATTTTTGATATTGTCAACTTTTTGCTTAGAAAATACTGTTACAGAAGGTTAAAAGGCTGAACAAGTAGTGTCTGGATATTTCCATAAACATGACCTCACAGTTCTTGAAAATGGTCACTGTAGACACCTGAATAATTAATTTTCTGTGTGACACCAGAGGTTTACAGAAACTATATGGAATTGTTTGCAACTGGTTTGGGAATGAATAACATGTACTGCCAGTAAATTCTTGGAGAATTCTGGTCTACCCGCCCTCTGTAATCATTCACCCCACCACCAAAGTATTGTAAACTCTGGTTTCTAATGGGAAAGGCAATGTTCTGTCACATATTGCTTAATCATTACCAGCAAGACTGAAAACAGTCAGTCTAATGAACTCTTAATGACAATTCCTGGTATATCAAGTAGCTAGCTACCACTCAGAGAACCTGTTGGCTCATAGCTGTGCTGTTTTCCTGTATTAATTCATTTAGTCCTAACAGCTACCTTGTCAGACAGGTAAGCATCTTTCAGGAGAATAAGCTCAGAGTTACAGAAAAAGATAGAATTTTAGTTCAGTTCTGATTCCAAATACTATGATCTTTTTTTTTCTTCTGAGTACTGAAAACTCAGTAATGTCTATTTTAGTGTTTAAAATCTCACTTCTGTCAGACTGTAGCAACAAATGCTATTCAGAAATACCGTAATTCAGTATCTGTAGTCTTGTTGGTTACTACTAGGCATAAAGATATTAAAGTAAATGGTGTTTTTAAGAGCAACTTTCTCAACTTGTGCCCCTCAATCCAGTAGATAAAATTCATATCCCTGAACTTCAAATATGAGATAATTTTTGAATGAAGTTTGTAACACTTCAAATTCAGGTAGGACATTGTACTCAATTCCCACACTTTAATAAGGTAGAATTCTTTCATTAAATTACTTCTGATTCGGGTTTTTATTAAGATGATTGGGATTGAAATTTTTAAAAACTTAGTACCTAATACATTCTTTGTGGGGAGTTGGTACAGGTACATAACATATCTCAATTCTCTTTTCATCCCCTTTTCCTCCCTGCTCCATCGTTTTTTTTTTTTTTTTTTCATGTTACCAGGGGTCGAAAACTCAGGTCCTTGTGCTTGCAAAGGGCCTTTTTTTTTTTCCTGTTCCATCTTTTGATCCCCTTTCTATCTCCCTACTTCTATTGGCTTTTATTTTGCTCTTCACTGGGGTTAAGAGTAGTCTTATTGATTCTGTAATTTTAAAGGTAAAATTTTTAAACATTCTCAGAACTAGGTACGTCAATATTGCATACCTAACAGTCTTTGTATTTATTTGAAATTCATTTGTAGAAGTGGAGTGACAAAAGTTGAAGCTGAAAGTTCGGTAATAATGTAAGGTCAAATTATGTACTTGAGCAAAACATTTCTTTTTAAAAAGATTTTAAAAATTCATCTAAATGAAGTTAACTCAAAATGTTGCTAGTAGCAGGATTACTAGTTCATTGGAGAATGACAGTTGAGGTACTTGCAATATTCAGTTTTTTGCTACCTGGCAGTTAAGAGTTTTTTTTCTTTTGGTACCGGAGATAGAACTTGGGACCTTGTGCTTTCAAGGCAGGCAGTGGCCCCACTGAGCTAAATCTCTGGACCTTAAAAGATTTTTATCTAAACTTTAGATGTCTCCCTACTTCTCCAGAATGAACTACATGTTTCTTGATTAGAAAATTTAAATGCTGTTAACTGAATGCCTTACCTCTGCCCCAATTAATATTCTTAACACCTTTACTAATTATTTATGAGTATGTCCTGTCGGTTTAAGGCTTAGTTTAAATTTTTAAAGTCCTTTCTGACCTGCAGTGCCCCCCCCCCCGTGATCATGTATTTAGCAATTTTCTGGCAGCTAAATCATGTTTTGTGGTAGTTCTTTTTGCATTTATTATACTGATTTTTTGAGCTTGCGAATTACCACCTGTGGGTCTTGTTTGTGTATAGTTATTTCTGAGGTTTAACAAAATAATCATTGTATCTGTAGTTTGTAAAGCCTGATTCTCTAAAATCCATTAGTCTCAGTTAAACTAAAAGTAGTGCCCTGGAAGAAACTTTGGGCATTGTCATGTTTATCAAAGAATTGAGTCACTGGACTGTAGCTTAGTGTACTGAAGAGGAGCAGGAAAATAAAAGCCTGTCTTGTCCCATACTTTTGGTCAGCACTGTTATGGCTCAGTGCTAATGTCCCATCCTTCATAGAAGAAGCTGAATTTTTAAGTCATCCTCGGTCCCCCTACATCCATGTGCTTAGGGATGCAACACCATTACCTTTGCTGACTAGGGTTAATCTCGCCAGTGACTGATGTAGTCAGCAGAATCGTCCAGACTGAACTAGTGAGATGTAGAGGACCTTTTGCAGTACTGGGAGTTGAACCTAGCACCTTTGTGTTGAGTTGTATCCTCAGCCAGCCCGCCCCACCACCCACTTCTATTTTTGACACAGGGTCTTGCTAAGTTGCCTGATGGATAGGCTTGTACTTGTGATCCTGCGTTAGCATCCCAGACTGCTGGATTACAGGTAGTTACTGTAATATATCCAGCTTCCTTGGGGACTTCTTAAAAATCAAGCTCAGAAAAAGCTATTGTCTTTTGGAGTTTGGCATTATCTGGATGTGACAGAATTTTGTGGGCATCCCACAGCCTGGAGGTAGAGCAAAGAAATAAGCCCTCGCATAGCACGTCCTACCTACCTCTGCACATCTTGAGATTTTCCTTTCCACCTAACTGTTTTGAGTAAGGCTTTTTGGTTATTTGAAACCAAAGTATGACTCACCTCTCTGGACATGGTGAATAATGTCATCTTCACTTAGCTTAACCCAGCTGTCCCTGTGCCCCATCTTGTGAGGACTCACTTCAAGCCATGGTTTACTTCTCTGTCATTCAAGATCAGTAGAAAAAGATTTTACGTGTGTGGTTGAAACTAATCCATGGGCCAAACTAGGCAAACTGAGGAAAGGTTTAGTATAGTTTTGGGGAGCTATTTTTGATTGCTTATAATTTATTACAAGTCTACAAGCATTAATAGATGAAATCCTGGAATCTAACAAGTGTGTTTTGGATTTTCAAAAGTAGTTTAGTGTGAAATCAGTCCTTCAGCCCAAGAATCTTGTGTGATTTTTAAAACTTCTTTCAAATGAAAATATAAATCATTTTGATGTTTAGTAAACATGTTTTATGTATTGATTTAGACAATAACAAGTCTCCGAATAGGAACAATATAAATTAGGAATTTTTTGTCAATTTGTTCCCTTTCGGGAGAAGGAAGGAAAGGATGAAGTGTGGTTTGTTTATATGGGCTTGAATGGTTCTTAAGTCATTATGAAAGTGGATTTTATTTGAATAAATTTTGAACTGATATTTTGCAAACTTGTCAAGAGTGTTCTTTTTTAAATTACTGTTTTCAAGCTCGTTGCCAATGAATGCTTTGATACCATTTTTCTGGGGAAATCAAATTACTTGGTGGCTTTCAGTACCATATTACATACAGACTTATTCAGTTATGTTCATTGTTTATGAATATAAGATGTAGCTTCAGTTTTTAGGCTGATTTTTAAACTTCAGATATGTAAACTGTGTAAGATGATGTTTTTTTTATCACCCTTGGATAAAAACAACAGAAACTATAGCATACAAACCAAGATGATTCATTTTTCAATAATCTTTGGAGCCATCCTTTATTCTGAGATTATATCCTATTAACTTTTTAAAGCCCCAATAATTAAAAAAAATTAAAAAAAAATTCTGGATGATTCTGGAAACCACTCATTGACGTAGAGCTGAATAAACAAGTTTTCACACTAGACAATTCATGGAAGACATGGGAAGTAAGGATCCAGGTGTCACAGCCAATTGACTTTTTCATACTTGGCAAAGCTTTCTTTGAGTATAGTTTTTAGAAGCCATGCTGGGTTACACAAGTGTAAAGTGAAATGTCCTGTTCATCATTGTTAAATAGAACCCAAGTCATTGGCCTAAACGGCTG